GACCCTTATAACGCCGTTCAGATTTAGGAAATAAAAAGTGAGGGTGCCATACTCACCGGTGAGTCGACAATAAGAGTCGGAGAAAGCGTCCCGAGTATCCGGGCTATAAGTTGCCCGTTGTTTTCATAATCCATCAGAATTGGGTACCTGCTAGGCCGTACAAAACAAATTCAGCGGGGTGGAAAAAAAGCCGGAGAGATAACCAGAGCCGCAATGTCCGTTTTTATAATTTTTTTGAACTGAATTATTCGTCCAAGTTTGAGAGACAATGACATTGAGTGAGGGAGGTATAATTCCTGACCAAGTTAACCGCGTTGCTCTGTATTTATTTACCCCCTTATTTACCCCCTTATCCCAGATCAATGTGAAACCTATATAAATGCACTTGTGGAGTTGCAGCTTTGATTGGAGCTGACAGGTTGCTTAAGTTAAATTAAAATGCTGGTATTCAAACCTTCCCGCCACATTCGGTGGGATCAAGCCATGTGGAGCTCTAACATAGAGTTTCTAGAATTGCGCCCTGCTGTTTGCAGAAAACGCGGAATTTATGAGTGGAACTGACCAGCCGGTCAAGCTAACGTGCGTATAAAGACAATAGTAAAATAAGTTATTGTTCCACAAATGCTACGCTAACTGCGTTCCTTCGGTGAAATATAAACTTTGGTTCGTAAGGCCCCGTTAAGGAGGCTGAGGAAATTATTCGGGATTCGGAAGTGAAACGCAGCCGAGACTTCCGGCTACTGCGCACCGCCGTTACTACCGAGTCAGTATCTGTCAATGGAATGGCTCAGAACCCTCGGCGCAATGGCAGATTCTGTTCAATCTTTCCAACCGGCGTCTAACCAGGCAGAGTTGCTCTGGATGCCTGAACAAGCGACTTCAATTTTTCGAAGCTCCCGCTTGCTTAGTAGCGATATTGCCTATCGAGAAGCACAATCCAATAGGCTAAGTAGATCCAGGGTATAACGAAGAATTATGGCTTCCAACTTCAACAGTACATTAGGGTTCCACACCGCCTATGGCCAAAGACAATTATTACCCATGGCCCAGCGACGGGTGTTTCGCTTTCTCTAAAGTGATACTCTTCTAGAGTGAGCTGCAGATTTCCAGTGTAGACACAAGAACGAGCCTACTCTAATGTACTGCGGTTAGCCGGGGCAGAGTAGTATACATTAGTGCTGCATTAGTAGCCGTGCCATTCGATCCGCCCACATCATGAACTCCACCGCCCCGTATGCGATCTCTGCGACGGATCGAACCAGCCTGATCGATATAGTCGAGACTCATTTTATGTCTTGGATAATCCTAGTGGGCTTGATTCGACTACATATGCGCCTCACGATCGGTGGACCGGTGCAGATTGATAACGTGGTGGTGCTTGCCGGAAGTGTAAGTATACCTACCTCGCCGTTCTTCCTCAGCACCCCCTTTATTTGAGAAAGGTAAATTACTCTGATGATTCTTGGGTTCAAGAGACGGCATGATGATCTTTTGTGCTCATATAGACTGAGTCCAAGTGCGAGGAATGATTGTCGATCTTGGAGACTAAACTGATCATGATCTCCCTGCGCGTGTGGGACCCAAGATTTAGTCAGAAAATTCTTGGGTCCCGTTGAGCCGGAACCCGCGAACGGGTCTCTGTTCGGCATTCGTCCATCTCCTGATTAGGTCATGGTTTACGATTTCAGGGTATTGCGATTTGCAAGTCAATTTAGGGTGAGGTTAACAGATAATAGTCCTATCACTAGTGGTAGGCAGAGAATGCATTGTCTTCGATAGAAAGATGCTCTTCAGAATAGAAGAAGAATTATTAATAACGGGTACAAGAGAAGAGAGAAACAGAAAGAATATGTACAGCCACGCAAAAAACTCTATTAAGCAGTGTATGGCCAAGGAAGCGCCAGTTCACCTCTTAACATGCTCTGGGGGAGTGGGCGAAACAGACAGTTGGGTCAACCTCTGCCCGCCCCTCAGTACGAATTCCACACCCTAATATAATCAACCTCCATCTGAACAGCCTCGCCATCCAGGGTAGTGGCATTGGGTTGACCAGGCCAATTCCCACCCACGGCAACGTTAAGCAGCAAGAAGTGGCCCTTGTGTGCAATTGCCTCCCACGTAGCCGAATCATTGAATCTGGACCCTGATATCTCAAAGGTTTTCTTTCCATCAAGATACCATGACAATGTTTCCTTTTTCCACGTGTTTTTCCCCATATGTTTTCCAGCAGCCGTACGTCGGTCAACCTGAAAGCCAACAGTATGCCAGTCACAGCCCGTCCATGCCACACCACCATTTCCAATCCCATTATATTCGTTGCAGGGCCCTCCTGGTGCATACCCACAATGAAGTGTACTATACACCGTTGGCAAGCCGTTCACAACTTCCAAGATATCCCACTCCGACACATTAGGCCAACCAGAGTAGCTTGGCCTAAAGTCAGTTCCTAGAGCCCAGAATGCAGGCCAGATCCCTTGTTGTCTATCACTGGGAGCACAGCCCGTTCTCAGCCTGCTCTCAATATAGAGTTTACCACCTGCTGGAGCTGCAAAATCTGAGCGTCGAGTTTCAATTCGCGCAGACGTCCATGTACCGTTGGATGACAAACGTGGTGTGATTGCAAGAGTACCGAAAGGAGTGACATGTATATTTGCAGGGGAGTTTGTGTATATCTCAGCCTCATTATTTCCCCAATTTTGGGGAGCGTCAACAGTTGGGTACCTGGTTCCTAGGTCAAAGACCCACTTCTCAGACGAGGGCAAGCTGTATGGATGATATTCGAATTCATCGTGCCAGGTCAACTGATAATCGACAAGTTCAAGTGATATTGCAAGGCTAGGGAACAGAGGGCTGCGTCCCTCAACTGCATGGTGATGGCGATGAGAGAACCCTTTTCGGGCTGCTGTGGCACCGAGAAATAAATAGAAGACACTAATGAACGGCAACATGTTTCAAAAGAGTGACAAGATAAGGAGTGACGAATGGTTTTGATAAAAGAAAAGACAACTGTAAGGCAGGCCGAAGAGGCGATGGAGCAGTCTAGAAGGCGGCTGGGTCACGCTCTAATATTTATCTGAGGTAGTTAAAAAAAATTCCATCGTGCTCATTGAATAAATAGCATTTCGAAAGAAGAGCTGATCTTCATATTGAAACTCCGGAATCCTTACAATTTTGCTGGCACCACATGTTGGTCTAATTAGCGTGATTTAAACTTTCTCTATCATTTAGGTGCATGTCTGGGAGGTAAATTTTTGTTGACACTGTCAGGTGTTGGTTTTGATCAAGTGACACAATGTAAGCCTATATATAGAACATAGTCAAACCAATACAGTGCAGTGCGTATCAGTACCCAGCTCCAAAAAGAACAACTATCTCGGAATACGAAAGTTTTGGGTGGGGGGAGAAAGGAATTTAGTTTCTCCCCTGAATTTCCGCTCTTTGACTGTTCAGAAACTGGGAGTGGTCAGTATGATAAAGGGGAAATATTCTTGCAACCCCACTAAGAAAGCTGGGGCTCTTTATTGGACTGATGCACGGAGTATCCAGGTCCCAATTTACACTCCAATCGAAAGGGAATGATAACTGAGAGCAGTTGTTCAGGCACGTTCTCTCCCGGCATGTGACGGAAGTCAATTGGAAATTTCAAACTTTAAGACTGAGTTAAACCATTTCCGGTCGTAAAGGCGATCCGATGGAGGAACCCGCGCGTTAATGGTAAAAAAATACTTTCCTCTCCCTACGATTTTATAATTTAATTGCGGCCAGATCGGACGATTTTGGGAGCGGTGGCTGACTCGAATTGGATAATGGTATGCTTGGCGGGGTCGAAAATTGCTAAGTGGCGCTGTCAAACTTTACATACCTAAGACCGCCGCACGACAGGGAATATGGCATCCGATAGAATTATTACCATTGTAGCTGTATTTGTAATTCTTATACTGTACCGTTGAGCTGGAACTCTAACTATTCTCATTGGTGACTTGAGGAGTACCTCTGCAGTTTGGAAGCCAGATTCATAGAAATTGTCCTGTTCCTTGTGTGATACGACGGATTCCGGACCGCAATTCCTAGATGCCAATCCGGCCCCTGGCCCGAGTACTTGGTACTAGGGGGAACCAGTACACACGGTAGAAAGAGGGAAACAGCTCGTTTGGAAAATTAAGCTTTTGATGAATGGCAGCGCTGCGGCCCGAACGGCCGGCGCATCCTTGGCCTGTCGCGTCCTTTCTACACTGTAAACTCTCAGCACTCTCAACTCTGTCTGCCGCCCAAGTAAACCCGCACTGCCCTCCGTGCTATTGGCCGCTACTCCTTCAGAGATAAATGGAGTTTCTCGGCGTCGTTTTCGTTCCGTCTCTTTTTTCTCCTTTGCCTTTTCCTTCCCACAGGTCGCTCGCTACACTCGAAGCATTTCTGCTGGTGCCTTTAAATTTTTCGTTCCACTTTGGCCGTTCTTTGACAACTGTGGACAATATTCAGGCTTATACTACCGCTGCGTTTCGGAATAGGCCGGGACAATGACAAAATGACAGATAATGTTCCTCTTAATCTGGTAATGAAACTTAAGTAATTTGGACAGATACTCCTAAGACCACCATCTAGCTCTCATCTATGCATCAGGTCAGGCCGCCACTTAGAGCTAAGCTCGGCATATTCAACGAATAGCTGCGTGCTTCTATCTACAAGTTGTCAGCGAGTACGTCTAGTATGCGACCGCCAAGCCAGCGTTCGCCGCGCACCGATCCACAACCCCTCTTTCTCACCGCGTGGAAAGGCTTGCCAAAGCTTGGCACCATCAATTTTATTCCGAAAGCGGCTCAGCCTGATGCAATTGCCATTCGAGGATACCCGGAGACTGCGTGGGAAAAACAAAAGGGTACCAAAGGTTGGAAGTGTACAGTGACACCTCGTAAGTTCTAACAACACCCCGGCCCCATCAAAATATCTCCAATTTTCAATGCCCTTTTCTCTTGAATGAACTTGAAGAACGTTACCGACGGATGGAACTCGCCACGTTCTGCGAGCTGTTCGCCCAGCTTCGCGAAACCACTGGCGAGCGCTGCGGCAGTGCGCGCGAATTCGTTGATCATGTACGGTTGCTGGTACATCGATAGAATGCCATCGCGCCCGGATCGATTGGCGATCGAGCACACATCGCGATCTTGCTGACACAGATCGGACCGGAATATGTCCTGATTGTGGATGCCATTCAGAATGACAAGGATCCGGTGAGTCCGACCGCGATCGGAAACCGTCTGTCTAATGCCGAACAGACGGTTCGGAGGAAAGAGTCTCTAACACCCTTGCAGGCAGCGTCTGGCCCGTCCGTCCATACGGTGCAGCAGACTGCCAAGAAATACAACTATTACAAGAAGCGCCGCCATGTGGCTGCGCAGTGCTGGAAGAAACAGCGAGAAGTACAGCCGTCCAGGGACCATGCCCTGAAGGCTGAACGGAGTATTTCCGGCTCGCCAAGAAATAATTTACAAAATATACCATCAAGCCAGATGGGAGATCGGCAGGGCCCGCCGACTTCAAGAGACCGAGGATCAATATCGTGAGGGCGAGGGTGACGACCCTTTTACCCACGCACCGCAACCCTGGTGGATCCTGGACTCGGCCGCCACCAGCCACATCTGCTGGGACCGGGGCTTCTTCAGTAGTCTGCGGCCCTACCGCGAGATGCTGGACATGGCGGGCGATCCAGTGGAGCCGAAGGGATTGGTACGGTGAAGCTCACGCCGCGGGGGAAGTGCAACCAACCCCTGGTGTTAAAGAATGCGTACTTCGCGCCACGCGTCGGGATGAACCTGATCAGCGTGCCGAAGCTGTTGCGAGGCCGCTACTCGGTGGTGGCGCACCCGCAGAACGTCTTTGTGCAACGCCGAGGACGAACCGTGGGGACCGCCTACCATGCGGAGGAGGATCTGTTGATCCTGCGGTGCCATGTGAGCAAGAGATCTCGAGAGCGAGTCCAACTGGCGAGGGCGCCGACGACCCATGACCATGCAGATTCCCTGGAACCGCAGGCGGTGGCCATGGACGTCGACGAGCCTCGGGAGTCAAGTGACGCAGAATGCGCAACGTCAACCTCTGAACTCGGTAGTGAAGCTGTGATACTCGAAGACGATGCGTGCAAAGGAGTGGACCAGGCCTCCGAAGCGTTGTGGCACGCTCGGATGGGACATCTGAACCGGGGAGACTTGAGGGTGGTCCTCCGGCAGACCGGCACCCCGTACCGCCCGCTGACCCAGGCGCAGCTGCTGGAACACCGCAGTGCCCGGCGTGCATGTCGGGTAAGCAGCATCAGAAGAGGAACTCCCTGCAAGGCGGCCACGTCTGCACTCATCGAGAATGTTTGAAACGATCCATTCGGACATTATGGAAATACCGATTGCCAAAGATGGCTCCAGGTACGTGATCACTTTTACTGACGATTATTCTCGTGGCTCGTGGGCATATATATGCCATGAGATGGAAGCATGAAGCGCTCCAGAAGTTCCGCCAATTTGAGGCCTGGGTGCATGAAGGCGCTGAGGTGGAGGGCGTAAGACGCGATGGAGCGCGTCGGCCCCTTGGTCTTATCTGACTCGGCGGGCATAGGTTACTCGCCACAACAGTTTTCGAGATTGGTGATGGGCTGCTCCTACAACGGCATGAAGATGTCAGTGGTTTTTGTGTTTGGGATACCAGACTTGGCACAGATTATCGGACCCGGCGCAGCAGGAGGCGTGACATTGCACTCACCTCATCGTGTACAACGAACGTCTGGGGCTTATGCATCCTGCTGTTGGCCCGCAGCCTTGTCTGCAGTATTTTACATAGGACATGTTGCATGGTTTGAAGCGACAGGGCCAGAAATGGTGTGTAAGCCATGACTCTGCGTGGAGCACTGACGGAGTGCTGGTTCGGGCTCACTTTGGTGCGCTGTCAACGGTTTCCTGTCCATCATTAGCTTTTTGTCGGCGAGACAATGAGTGACTTACCTGTTCTGAAAGAAGACACCGGAAAGGGTTCGTGGCTTTGCGCGCAATGGACGGAACGCATGGATAGTTCTTTCGCATCGTCTTTGAAGTCAGTCCAGTTTCGGAAGGGTTGCGTTGAAATCTACATACCTGTGCGAAAACCTCTTTTGCATCGATATATTCAGGGGCGGGACAGTGGTCGGCTGCTATGGTGGACAGATGTTCGCATAGCTGCTTTGACCAGCTAACCCCAATCTGCTTCTTGATCGGCTGGCATGGGTGGCATAGTGGACCTGGTGGGAATCTCATTCTCACAAGCACTTTCTAGCTTGTCGGCCCACGATGTATCCATAGATGTCAGTACAGTGGAAATTTCAGTAGGGTTGAAGGGAAGAACTTATCAGTTTCCTCACACGCAAGGCCTGCTCGACTTTGCGTGGCCAAGTGATGGAATTGTAAAACAAACCTCGTGGGGAGAGGACGTATTTATAGGCTTCTCAGCTCCTGTCGCGTACGTGCTCTGCTAGGTGGCAAACGTTGAAAGACACAATGCCTATCCTAGGTGAGGCGTGTTGTAACATATACCGCAACTATTTGCAGCAAATTTCTTGGTTTGGCTTTAGATGCTCACCGAGAAAACATGCTAGAGTCAAGTAGAGAGTGAGTCAAAGTGAGTCGGTTAAGAAACGTTGGGTCACTGTTGAATCTACGGTCATAATACTGAGGCAACCGAAGCTGTTCATTCTTTGAACTTACCAAGAGCGCTCACAATTTTCATCTAAAAAACATGGAAATTATCTGGCCTCGCTCGAGTGTTGATTGTCTGCGCTGTGTGTGGTTCTGTCCCTCTAGGCTGCGGAAAGCGTCAGTACTCAACCCGTCAACCCGTTGAAGCTTGGCCGTCCTTGTTGACGGGAGTCAACTTTTGAACTCGTGATCATGGTTGAGATGGATGCCCCTAACAGCACGCCAGACCAGGAAAAGGAAGGAGAACAACAGCCCAGTGCGTTGCCAACCATTTGTGAAAAGGGCAATTCGAGGAAGACTTCTAATCAAGTCCCTCCACTGGTAAGTAAAGCGGCTCAGCTTCTAATGCTCTTGCTAACCATCGCAGCTCTCTCCCTCGCAACAGGAAGCAGAAACAAGACATACCTTGGCGACAGAGCCCTTTCAACCTATTTTGAAGGTGCTAACAGACCTCGAACGCGACGATCCCAAGTTCGCCTTTCCAGCAGGTCGAATTGTCGGACTCTATCGACGCCTATCCAAACACATCGATGATCAGAACTTAGAGCAGAGCAATCAGATCTTGAAGGAGGCTAGCAGACACCTGACTAAAGAGAGGGACGGACTTCAGCTGCGCCACGACAAGCAGCTGTCTCGGCTGCGCTTTTTCGAGCAGGCACTGGAATCATCTCGGGTTCGACTGACTCGCGTACTCGATGACTGGGATCACCCTTCCAGACTCAATCTACCAGGGTTCTTGGACAACGCAAGAGAAGAGTGAAGCATTGCATGTTCATATTTGTCTTATGTCTTTTACAACGTGGAAAATAACCAACAATTTCACAATGAAGAGGATTAGCGCATGCCAGGTTATGTCTTTTTAGTTGTTCACATTAAGAAGGCATATGATAGCCTTTGCGGAGTGTGTCAGCGGATAGTCCGGCTTGTTCTAGGTCACTTCTATTAATTCAATATATTATTGACAAAAATACGGATCCAGTGACAATGTGGGCAGTATAGCTAGCGGAGGAAGGGTCGAATGAATCGGCCGTCTCGCATTGCATCGGAAGAGCTACTTGGGTTAGACGTCGCCAGCCCTAACAGACCACCCAACCTTCCCCTTGGGGACCGCTTCAACAATCTTTGTGGAGTATTGACGTCTTCCATTCTGCTTCGAATGGCCCTCAGGATGCAATCGTTCCTTGCTAGATCCAGCGATCTCTTCAGGCTGAAGTAATTAAGTCCGGGATTGACCACAAGTGCGTCAACAATCGGGAAATGTCCACCCTTGACGGCCAACATCAATGGATCCTCAGAATATCGATTTCTGACGCTTACATCAATTCGATCATGGCGTAGCAGCGCCTGGACCATCTCCAAGTCACCGCCACGGGCAGCCATGCAGAGAGCAGTGTCGTGAGTTGCGATCGTGCTTTCGTTGATGTTCAGACGTGCGTCTTGTTGCACTAAAAGTCGTACCACATCGAGATGGCCATGTGCAACCGCTCGACAAATAGGCGGATCTATTAAATTCATTCCATTAATCTCTACGCCCGCCATACTCAGTAGACAAGCAACCGTGTCCACACTTCCGTGCGATGCGGCAGCAGACATTGGAGAGTGGCCTGTAACACAGTGATTGAGATCTATTCCTGGCACCGCAAGCAGCTGCCGTAAAACTGCAGTGTCCAATCTGGCTGCCGCGTGATGAAGCGATGTAGAAGGCCCCTCGCGCCTCCCGTAGCCTCCGACGAAGTTGACATCGATGCCGTTCTCGGCCAGTAGCCTCTCGGTTATCTCGTCGTGTGACAAGTACGTTGACAGCCAAAGAGGCGTATTGCCTTCTTTGTCTTTGCAGTCCACGTTGGCACGGGGGTGACTTAGGAGCAAATTGACCATTTCTAGGCGATCACTTTGAATGGCGAGATGGAGCGGCGTATAGCCATTCCGGTTCTGGATGTCCAAATTCAGGCCCTTTTGTCCGAGAAGCCGTTTGACAACATCTACCGACCCATAGGCCACTGCTTGGTGAAGAGGTAGCTCAGCCTCCTGTGATGATCGGGTACCAAGAAACACCTCGGCCATCGGATCGTTTGAAAAATCATTTCCATCACGGGCCTATTGAAGCGACGTGCCCGGTCCCATGGCGAGTGGCCCGAATCATCCTGTAGATCAGGGTCGCTGCCTCTAGAAAGTAGCAGATGCACGAGCCCTATTCGGCCTGCGAAGACTGCTAGGTGGAGCGCCGTTCGGCCGTGTTTGTGCTTGATGTCCACCTGGACCTTGGGTTGTTCTAGAACGCGCTTGACGGTGGAAAAAGTTCCGTAGTGGATGGCATACCACAGGGCGCTCTCCCGCGCTTGATTTTGAATGTTGATGTCTAGATCTCGACGATTGAGCAAGAGGTCCCGCACAGCAGGGGAAGAGTATTTCAACGCCCGCATTAAAGGAGTTTTGCCTCGGTAAAATGCATTGATGTTGGCGTTGTGCTGGAGCAAAGCCTCCACAAGACCAACGTTGTCGTAATTGACGGCCAGGTGCAACAGATTGCTGTTCTGAAATTTGATATTGTATTTCCAGATGCTGGGCTGCAGTCTAAAATCGAGGTCTTTGCATGATTTTGCGAGGGCAAATAATGCACTACCGTCCAAATACGACACAATCCACAGCAAAAGCTCGTTGGGCAGGTCTCTGATATTTGGCTGTAACGTATTAGCTCATCGGTAAACCCCGTAAGAACGAATTGAACGGACCATGATTGGACAGCGGATGGAGCAAACGAAATGTAGATAGGGGTGAGGTGAGAGATGTGAAAGTAGGATATGGGAGGCCTTTATATACTCACCTCAGCTAAATTCCGTGGTCAGCTAGGAGTGTAGTCTGTCACTCCGCTGAGAGGTGCGTAGCAATCACACGGCAGCATCAAAGCCTTGACAACAATGTTCAGGCGCGGAGTTGGAGAATCTGTGGGGTCTAGCTCCTGGGAACGCCAAAACTATTCCTGGTAGTGTGTCGATGGCATGAGAACTGAATCTATCTCTACGTATCCACATCTTGCACCTAGCGCCATAAGAACAAATCACAACCTATCACGCACTTCGAAATTCATAGGCAACCCAGAATCTAACGCAGCATTTGTCGACTTCGCTGCCTACCGCAGTAGCCAATCTGTTCGCCAATGTATGGTCCCCGCGATGGATAGTCAAATGTGCAGCTGATTGCAGCAGTGGTCTGGAATGATATCCCTTCATGCAGGCCACTGATCGGCTGTATACGGCGCATACTGCGTGTGAATGCATTCTTCGACGTACCGACTGTTTCAAGGAAGTGTTCCATGCCAGCCACGCAGCCATGTAGGTAAGGAGCCCACGGCGATGGCATATAAAGCTGGCGAGGGAACGCCGCAGTGGATTGCCCAACACCACCACAATCCGAAGCATTTTCTGCCTTTGACGACCACCTCAATAACTACCATGCTGCCTTGGAATCCGTTTCTTGTTTGTGAGATAGAGGTCAGCCCCAATGGCGGTCCTGGCTCTTGTTGCGGGACGACGAAAAAAGGCGAGCCGTGCAAAAACTCGATCAAAGTTGAAGACACCAAGATCGGCCATCAAAAGTTGACCTCTCTCGCCAGAGAGCCATTTGACCTGTCATCGTTGCAGTCGAAGCTCTGTGATGTCGCCAGAGACTTCCTCTGCGCGAGATGGCACCGACAACGGCAGGCCGACCAAGTGGGCCAGCAGTGGTATGAAGCCGCCGTCCGCAACCAGGCGCGAGTACCACACGGCTCCAGAATGGCTTCTCCATCAGTTGTTGTACATCCAGGCCAGCGTCAGACATCGTCAGCCTCCAGGCGACGCCCTGCATCAGACAACACTGGCCCGTCACCTCCTCACAGGCTCAGACAAAACCCGCCGGTGCGGCTTTCAACCAACCCCGAGCCAGTGCAGCCATTCAATCCATTTGTGACTTCTGCAATGCTGCGGACGAACAGTGTTCCATGGCGCGTTTCGCCGACCCGACCAGCCATCCTCTCATCGGCAAATAATATCCGGGCTGGTTTCCAAGAATTGACGCTCCAGAGTCTCACCTCGAGTGAAGAGGTCGACAGCGTCCACGTCGACAGCATCTACTGTGTGTTCTGCCAGACCGAGGATGAAGACCATGCGGACGAGAGCGTGATCTTGCACTGCGGTCAGTGCACATCGCTCTGTCATCTGTCGTGCGCCGAAGAATGGCTGGAAAAGCGAGATACAGGGTTTGGCACGTCATGCTGTGTGTGGTAAGTGTGAACGACCTTATTTCTGAGACGACCAAGACACTGATGACCGCAGCCGAAACGAAGGGGCCCTAGATGCCATCATTCGCCCCTTACGAATCCCCTCGTCGGATGCCGAGACATATTCCGTCCACACGGCAAGCGATCCATCTCCCTCTGGTGGGCCCCGTCGCTCAGCCAGACTAGCAGGAACTCATCTACCGCGACAACCTTCCACCGCTGCACCGCTTCGCCGATCGGCACGACTCAATTCCACTCAGCGTAGCTGATCACAGGTTACAGCCGAGTTTGACGGAAAATGCGAAAAGCGAGTGAATCACACGCGAGTACACGTGACCAGACATTCGGCATCGTGATCAGCAACAGAGGTTATAGCCGTTATAGCCGTGATATACAATTTTGAAGCAAATTAGCAAGAAATGAAATACCGATGGTTAAACTCCGAAGTACAACGCGACCGTTTCATCTCGTAAGTGCTGGACACCAATACACCATAGCCAGTAGCTATTGACTGCTTCGCTGATTCCGAAAATGTCTGAGCTCGAGACTGTAGTGGTAGATAAAAGTTCTGTTTTCATGATACCTAACGGCGGTGACCAAAGAAACAGAGAAGGATTCATCTCAGTGGAGCCGTGTCGCGTGAAGGCGGGGATTGTTGGCAGAAAAGCCACAGGCAAAAGACTGACAAACTCTCGTGCTTGTTAACTTACTCTGGGCACCAATATGTTGGCCCTGGGAACCTCAAAAGCATTTCTAGGAGCTGTCTATCCCCTAGGAAATACTCTTGAGATCCTGGGGCTGTTTCTAATTCTAGGAAAACGAGATCTACCCCTGGGATCTTCGCCTTACGTTCCTGACTGAATACGGAACTGGCTCTGGGAATACATTGACCAGATCTGGGAGCTGTGGAGCCCCTGGGAGCTTACTTTAGGGTCCTAGAGTCACTATCTTGCCTTCCGAGATCGCCGACAGCCCTCACAAAACACCTTCACCAACCCTGCTCACAAATTTGCGCCATTGGACCACTCCCAGAAGGCACACCTACGCCTCCAGGAATCAACAAGTTGTCAACAGGAACGTGGCTTTGATTCCTCGAAGTGACGGTACTAGACCCCAGAAGCTATGTCGGGTTTCCTGGGGGATATGTGGCTCCTAGAAGCTGCTTCTTTGCTCCCAGATATGTTTCAGGAGCCCCTGGGAGTAAGATAACTCCCAGGGTCAAGAGATGAGCTCCTAGCACTGATCGAATCGTCAATAGGAGCGTGACCGGTTTCGTGATAGTGATGGTGGATAGTCTTACAAGCTACGTACGATTTGCTGGGGCTATGGTATTTCCATAGTCACCGTTTTGAAGTCTTTACGAACACCAAGTTTGATCGATGTTTACACAGAGCAAGTCGTTGTTCGACAGCCCCGGAAAATGTGTCCGATGTCTTGGGAGTAACCCAGCTCCTGGAATCACCCTGAGCTCCCAGGGTCTGCTGCCTTTTTGAAAACTTGCATCAGGTATTCTGGGGTTGGATTGGTCGCTGCATATACCATATTAGTGCACCTCGTGGAAGAACATTTGACCCGGACGTGACGTCGTGGGTGAAGAAATTCATAAATACATGCTTCCCATCCTACTCTTTCCACAATTAGGCTCCTCAGTGCCACCTTCTGCCTTGAGAGGATGATAACCACTCTTTTTTGATGATGACGATACCCTCCAACCTTGAATACCATATTCATAGGAACTGACTTAAGCAGTTCGGCTTTAGTGGATTCGATGCCTGACTTTCGATTGTAACTTACAATGTCATCCCCAGTTATATGTTACTCTGAAAAGGGAACTTGAAAGCAAACTCAACCTCTCCCAAAATATTCCTCCCATTTCTGTCTAGCACCCTGCCATTGAATACCGCGTTCGCCTCCGGACCGTACATTCTCTTCCACAAAACAACCGAGCGATCTTCATTATGGGTATCCGACTTGAATTCCATCGCCGTATCATGCTCTGAAAATTTGATCGTGTGGGGTTCTCCTGAAGCGTCGATGTAGGGTAGGGTAGAGCCGGGCCGTATGTCTTGGTAAAGATCATCCCAATCGATCGCAAAAGAGGAAGATTTCACGGTACACATGTATTTCGACCGTTGAGTCTCCATTTGAGGATCTCGATATCTCAAGTATACGCCCGTACCCTTTAACCACATCACCGGCATGCTCGTATCGGGGTCTCTGTACATGTATTTGCTCTCCACAGGCTGGACTAAGGCGTCAAATGGCTCTTCAGATGTCGCGAGCTCTGTTGGCGCTTCGTGCGTGGGCTGATTGGGGGTTATTGCCACGATCCAGATTTCAGGCGTATGTATGAGTCCGCCATTGGTCTCCACCTCCGCAATTCGACTGCCCTAGTACGTTGCCGGACGCTGGATTCTCTCCATTAAATCCAGAATATCGTTACCAAGAATTAAGACTTGCAGTCCCTTCTTGATCAGTGGCTCAAAGTACATCATGAAAGGGTCCTGCTCCCTCAAAGGATTCAGATATCTGCTAGCGTAGAGGAATTTTTCTGTGACTCCGAGCAGGTGCGCTATCAAAGAGATTTCCGTGGCGGTGAGCACACTCAACAAGGGGTCGGCTAGCTCGTAATACCCGCTCTCCGTCATACACACACACACACAATTCATTACGCCCGGAGGTATCAAGCCTAGAGGGCACCTATACGCTATTTGATCTTTCCATTGCATACATTTTGTCATAGTCTCATTTTCGAGAGGAAAAGCTGAACCAGCTGCAAAAAACCCCTCTAGCCCATACGGTATGTCCTTAACGATTTCTTCTTGTTGTTGTTGTCATCATCTCATCTCCCCCAAAAGCAATAACCCATCCCTCTGTGACACCGGACCCCTCCACGTGTCCATTCTCGATGTAGTTTCGTGAACCTCTTCCCTGAGTAGCGATTTACCGAGAGTACTTCTCATATTAACGCCCGAAGTAGCTGACTGCCTCGCTGGCGGCAACACCAGATAGCAGACGAAGGACTGACGAATCGACATGCGATCGAACCGGTAGGGCAGGTGAGTTATTGTGAACAAATCCGGTAAGTATAGGTTGAAAATATGTAGGCAGGTCGGTTGTTCGAAGGCTCGTCGACGTTGCGAAGTTGTCGACGTGTTCTTTTGAAAGCTTCCCGCCGCGTCGTCTCAACCAATAAAGGAGTTTGCGCCGGAGTTTCGATTTGGAAAGTTCTCAGCTTCGGTCAGACCTTGCAGTCTAACTTACTGACGTCCCTCACCACGAGAAGGTGACTTTCCACGAGGGACTCTCCGTCATACAGCGATTTTCGAAAACAGTTTACCCCTTGGAGACACACGCTTTGTTTCTCGGCCCGTACCCGAAACTACGCTAATCCGTATTTGGTTACTCTGTAAAGAAACCCAGATTAACCGTATCGCGTCACAGAACGTATTTGATTTCAGCGTGCAATGAGTCATGGTAAAATACCGGAAATCTCAGAAGTTCAAGGCGGGTACTTGAGGGCGTGAGAAGAGATCTGGCGAGCTGACCTTTATCCTGCTCACCATTTACCCTTTCTTTCATTTCCTCCGCTACCTTTGTCATCTACCTCTTACATGACAAAGGCTGTAGAGGACTAAGCCCGGTAGGCCAATATTGATATTGTTAGTGGCTTTTTCGTGGCTCTTGCTCTCTCCTGTTAGTTCTTGGCGTCTGCTGGTTCCGCACATGTAAGCTAACGCAGATCTCCAGTGCTTCGATCGTGTGTCGATGTGAGCAACAGCCTGTATAATATCAACTATATCTCTCAGCATCAAGAATTCGAACCATTCCAGAATGTTTTGCAGGATGAAAATTCACGCGCCTATCTAGTCTTACGTAGGGACAAGTTTGAGGATACAACATTTCTGCCTAAGGAGTGTTATTGGGAACTGTCAGGCCGACAAAAACAACCAGCACAGCCGAGTATGCAGCCGTGCTCGACAGCACCTCCTTTAATCCATCAAGAAACAAGGCCATCAGCAGGCCAAATATGGTCACGAAGACTGTTGTTGAAACCAGGGCCGTGTAGAGCGTTCTGTGGAGGACTACCAGCCACATCGGCGCTATGAGGAAGATGCCGCCTACGGCGGCTACGGCTAGCCGTTGTCGAAAGCCCCTGATCCAGTCCTGCCGAAGGTTTCCGTCTCTTGTACCACCAATAGGCCTCGGGTGTCTGACGGACGACTCCCATTTGATGATGGGCTTTGCCCAGTGCAGCGGGTCTGCTTCATCCTCCTTGTCTCTCATAGCAACATGGAGCATGAGGCGATCTACATATCGCTCACCAGTTACGATGAACGGGTCTTGGGTCTGCAAGGTGTGTTTCCCCATGTAGTCATAATCTTGCAGAGCTTGAACTATTATGGAATCGCATCAGTAGATGGCAAGGAGCATATAGTTGCTTCAGGCTAATATTGACTTACCATACTGTCTCAGGTCTTCAGCCCACTCTGAAGGCTCCATAGCATCATATCTAAGGTCGATTGCATGCTGCATTAACCTGTGTTGAAGTTGTCGTAAGCGCAAGCGCTGTAGCTCAGCGAAGTTGATCCTGTAACTCTTCTCTCTTTCTTCCAGTTGTTTTTGAATTGTACCGGTCACTCCTCGAGGCGGTTGGCTGCTGAGTCTCAGTTGTGACTTTTCTGCGACAGCTTTGCCATTATGACCTTTTCCAGGCCTTTCCTGACTATTGTCTGAGTCATCATTGGTCCCATGCTTTTGTCCAAATAGTACGTTAAACCAAGAGTCGGCAGGTTTGGAGATCTTTGTGATGAGATTGGGACGATGATGGTCGATAATCCAAGAAGGGTCATGGAAGTCCAGAAAGTCGTGCGTAGCATGTCCTCCGTGATTGCCTTCGAGATCAGACTCCCGCTGAGCCCGATAGAACATAATGCACGGTCTTTTCTAGCGTTGAATATGATAGCCTACCGAAAGTAGCTACAACACTCCAGAGCGATCACGTAGAAAGCAAGTACGTGCTTTTGGAAGAGGGAGCTGAAATTTTGGGTAGCATTTCCTTTCTGCGCGGGTAAGCCTCACACCATGCAGATGGCATAAGCCACGTCACTATGCAGCAGTCTCTGCTCAAGAAGGGTCCCGAATGGGTACGAGTGCGCCACGTCAGAAGTTCGTAAGTGACACCAACGAGTGCAGGCAATGTCACTTACTCTGGGGCCAAGCAATAGATAGAGCAATAACAAAAGCAATATATATGTAAACTACCCAGTAATCACATTCGGATAAGCCAAAGGGTGAGCCTATTGGATGACTGACTGACTTGACCTCGTGACCGCAGCTTGCAGCTTCGCCGAATACATTAAGCCCCTCAGTCCCAGTTGCAAGGTTGCAGGCTTTTCTCAATTTTGACTCCACTGCCGTCGAGCCGTCAGACTTTTCGGTCAAGTCGATCTCTCTAACGACCGAGTCAATGGGGTCCAAAATACTCAGGTTGAATGCCACCGTCTCTGATGGCCGCATTATTGTTTCTTTCTCATACCCGCCATCGGCTCAACGCTATAGAGAATATCTGGAGAAATCCGAGAGCTCCTACAATGACAACCATAAATGGAGAGCCACTATATCTGGGGGGCAGGTTTCCATGGACCTGCCCGCAGGCATAACCTTTGAGTTTCCCAGCGCATCTAAGGATGTCGTTCTTGCCTTTGCAGACGAGGCGAAAGCGACAATATGGGAAGAAAAGATGATATTGTGGGAAAAGAGTACGAACCAGGAGGGGACAAAGCGAAGCATTTCACCGTCGTTGACAGTTGAAAGCCTCAATGAAAAGCTGGGCTTGCCAGGACACTCATTGGAGTTTTCCCGCGTTTGTTGTGCCGGCACCAATTATGGATATCAGCTCGGGCAAATTCATGGACATGGGACCCTACCCGCCGCTTTTGTTACGAAGTTCAAGGGGGAAGGACCCTCCTAATGCTGGAGGTTGTTGCTAGCATCTGGTATTTATGCATAGAGACATAGCCATCTCGTCTATGTACATACAGACCAGGTTTTTCGAGCAGGTGATCGCAGAGTGCATCTAGCATTAATGGCGTTATACTTGTCTCCGACCAATACGATTGGGGGGATGACCGCTTCCGAACTGTCGCAAGTTCCTGCGAATATTTCCGACCGTCTGTTCGCTACATTCACCTACGTCAGCCATTTGAGATGTGGTTAGTGACCGGCTCAGTATCTTTATCATGAATGAACCGCAGCTTTGCAGGGGTAGTCTCGGTGCCATATTTTGCAGGCACTCTTTGGCAATTCTCGAGGCGGTGGTGCTACTAAAAAGAGGACGCCTCGGCCTGACAAGTCGACGGGCATGTCGGCTGGTGTGGAGGAGCAACTGAGGTCGAAGTTGTATAGGAGTTTCACGTAAGATACAATATTATACGTCACATAATCGTTCTAGCTAAAGAATGGAGCTATTCTTAGAAACATGTGACCGACGACTTTGCCAAATATAGATTACGGCTTGTATGATACGGTTTGACAAACAATCTCGGGAACAAGTCGGGACAACAGATCGTCCATGCCATTTGGCAAGCAGCTACAGCGATTTTCGAGAACAGTTTACCCCTTATGACACTCCCGCTTCGTTTCTCGGCTCGTGCCCGATACCACGCTAACCCCATATAGGCTACTTCAAAACCAACCCCTGCTTAGTTGTATTGGAGTATATACCGTACTGGAAGACGCGCGCGGCGCGCGCATCGGCCCTGAAACGATGAAAAGAAGAGGGTGGCAGGACTATAAATAAATAAATAAGTAAATAAATAAATAAAAAGAAAAAAACCCCCGGCTAGACATCTTACACCAACCACTCCCATGGCCAACTTCCATCACAGCTTCAATCTCATTGCAAGGGCTCTCGGAAAGGCAGAAAGCCAGGGCCAACACAATGATTACCTTACCCGTATCAAGTCTTGCGCAAGACGAGAGCAATCCAACCCAGTAGCCGATACACCGCGATGATACCCACCAGAATGCCAGCACATTTGCCTGTCCGCCCCGTGGCATACCCATACTCCTTTAGAACGCCAGTTCCGCGAATCTGGCACTGTGAGGCCAAATCGGTTTGGTACATACAATGACACCCAGCGCCACACGAGTAGGTCCGTCGGGAAAACTCATTGACCATCATTCCCTGAAACACATAGGCCTATTCACAGTGTTAGCGAGATGGACAGACCAGTAAAGCAAATTGCAGAATAGGGGAACATACCTGATAGTCGATATAGTGAAACACGTATTTCCAGAATACATTCAGAATCGTCGAAGATACTAGGAATCCGCCCACGCTCATCCACAGTCCGTTTGCGAAGGCAACGAGAGCGAGAGATATCACGAAGTTGGGAAAAATGGCTGTGACAAAGACGACAAGCGATTCGGCAGCGACGAGATCCAGAAAGATCCACATAACCCAAGTGAAGAAGGCATCAGCAGTGGGTGTGAAATTGGACAGCCAGTATGAGATGATAGAGAATAGTAGCGAGATCAGAACTGTGGCACTATTTAGTGACTCTCCGAGACATTAAGGGCAACGGCAACGTACATAGAAAAGGCAGGCCGATGATGAAGTTTGAGACCACGAATGGAGTCGCTCCATAGAGGCCATTAGCTCGCTCTTTGACAAAATTTGCTCGATCCTCGAGGAATGCTGGCACATATGCCACGGCCATGAAGGACATAAAGGCGGAACCAAAGAACTGTAAAAGTCGTTAGTGGTCCACACAAACTCAGATATTGAAGATCCAAGTTATTTTACTCACGATAGCGTTGATAAAGGGTTGGATATAATCTTGGGTCGTGTGAAGGCGCAGCCACACCGTGCCCATCATGATAGCCAAGCCTGTGCCGGTTAGTCTCGATCAGTCGTGTCAGTACTGGAATACATACCAAGATACATAATAATGCGGATTCCATAGGCGACAACATCACGATAACTTTTGATGAAGGAGCGATGGAGAAGGGCTCTGGTGATTCGTAGTGACCCTGGTCGAGACAAGTCTTCTGAGGACAAATGCGCTTTTCGGGTCAATCGTGCTTGTTCCTCCACCTGCCTCGTTACCATGTTCGCCTCGTCTGACTTCGCCCAGGCAGACTGAATCTTCGCAACCCGTTCCGCTGCTCTTCCCCCAGAATTTCCAAAATCCGCGCTAACAATATCGAGAAGGAATTCCGCTGGATTGGTGTTCATGGGAATTGGGAACCCGATGCTATTGAAGTGGTTCCCAATATTCGCGACAGGACCGCAGTAGCATGTCTTGCCTGCCGAGAGCAAAAATAGCTTGTCGAACAGTTCGAAGGTCGTTGTCGAGGGTTGATGGATACTCGAAATGATGAGGAGCTGTTATTGCATGGCCTTTCTTAGCAGCTGCTACCGTGTCTGGAAATAGGGACACCCACATTGTTGGACCGAGCCACTTCCTTCGCATACGACATCACCTCATAACTAGCCGTCGAGTCCAAGCCGCTGGTCGGCTCATCCAGGAACAAAATCTTCGGACAGGTAATGAGCTGGCTGGCTACGCTGACCCGGCGTTTCTGACCACCACTAATGCCCTTGCGAATAGGAGTTCCGACCAGGGTCTTCGCTTGGTTCTGGATACCGAAGGCTTCCAGAAGTGCTCGGATACGGTCCATGCGTTTACCCTTAGATATGGTACTACGTCCAACGTCGCTGTCAGTATTGATAACAACGGGCCTCACAACAGCCTTCTAGGAACTCGAAATATGCTCACCTAGGCAACGACAGATCAGCCGCAAACTTCAACGTCTCCTGCACCGTGAGGGACCCAATCAGCGCGTCTTCCTGCTCGACATAGGAGGTAATTCGCCCAAAAGTACTTGAGTCAATCTTGCTGCCGTTCACGTAGGTGTCGCCAAGAACTTTCGCTCGCGAGGCCGCGGTCCGGCGAGCCAGAACGTTGAGCAGCGTGGTCTTTCCGCAGCCCGAAGGGCCCATCAGCGCCACAAGCTCGCCTTGTGCAGAGTCAGCATCGTTTTAATTCTGAAGCCTAACCCAACAGCATCCAAACCTTGCTGCACATCGCCGCTGATGTCGTTGATCAGGTCGCGCGCTTTCCCGGTCTCGTGATCCTTCACCGTGACCGTCAACCCTTTCCAGCTGTAATGCTGGACGGTGTGGTTCATTAAGAACCGGCCACCGTCGTCGTTCTGTTCCAGGTCCGGAGTTCCGGCCTCTCCCAAAGGGATTTCGTCGTTCATGTTAAGCGTGCTTACAATAGTTGGACATTGCCCTCAATCCAGGCCCAGGTACCCGGATCCTAATCAATATATATATATATCCCGGCCATCTCAGAAGAATTGTAGATCAGCCCTTCGGTGATCACTGCTTTATGTCACTCGGGTTCCTTTGGATGGCCGAGTTCCCTGACGCCTAGGGCTCGGATGAGGTAAGCCGAAGATGGTCCCCGATATGAACGCCGTCCATCCGTCCGTCCACCACGCTCACATTCCGGTGTCGTCCCATAGGTTGGTCGTGAATTGCCTGCTTACTGGGTTCATAGGCCTAGAATCAAACCTGACACCCTCGCACGAGAAATAGTGTTATCCCTAGATTTCCTGAATACTAATCGATACATTCTATCTGTGTCCGTCGGGTGGTGCAACTGGTTCGTACTGGAGCCCGAGTCAATCACTTAAGAAAATTGCACTTTTATTTCATATTTAATTTTTTCTAGCTAGTCTTACCAAGAATGGCGTTATCTAGCATGTTGCCATGTTTACGTGCACAGTTTATCCCTGTGTTGTGAGGATTATGACTTTCTCCTATCATCTTAAAACAAAGGCGAACAAGGGCTTGCGAACGATACAACCTAAGCCCAACGTACTGTCGGTCCAATCTAATGGGGGTGGAAATACAAATGGAGGTCGACAACTGTCCCATCTATGTAGCCGTTGCAACGCTGATAAAACGCGATACGTCTAGAAAGCTTTGCGAGATGATAAAGGAACACAAAGGGGGAAAGTCCTGCGAATGTAAGCGACAAGCTTGGTTGCATATATTGAATATCTGTATGAGTCGTGTCATTATCTTCACATTCCAGCGATGGAGCCTCATTGTCTATTGCGTCACTTCACCGTACCCCGTGCTTCACTCGGGATTCAACAGGGGAATTTGCTCGGGGCACCTCTCATCGCCGACGTATGTATTATGTATTATGACGTATAATCAACGTAAGATATTTACTGTTCGCTTAGCACATAAAGAAGCAGTGTGTAGCCAGTGCTTAAAATCTCCGTTTACAAAAAGACGCAAGAAGTTGGCAAAAACCAAGTTACTGCCATATAAAGATATCTCTTTTAAGATCACATTTCTAACATACGACGAGAAATCCCATTTGTGATGTGTAAAAAGGCCCATTGCAAAACATGCGGTAAGTGCCATCCCAATATGCAACGAAATGTTTGCTGTACAAATTCTCACGTACCGGTTGACCAGGGAAGATAACCTGGTGGGGTTGTGGTAACCATATCCCATCAGTTTTGGATGAAGTTCCGGGAAGTGAGAGGTGCTCTTGCTCTCCTCAGGTAGTGATGGATGGTAAGAAATATCCACCGAAAGCTGAGGAACCGGATTGACTATCAATGCCGGTCTGCAAACTGGTATGAGGTGGTTATCCACCGAATCATACGTGTTGTAAAAACCTCCTTCGCAAATGACCAGTCGGCGTTCAACTTTAGCTTCTACAATGCAATCTATCTCGTAAGCCTCCAGTATGTTAGTTAAATGATTTCACCGTACGGAAACAGAATATATAGGATTTGATCACTATAGGGGTATAAGGATGATAGCACCTTGATCTGCTACAATAATCCATCTTACCGCTTCGCAAAAGTCCAGCCAGATCAACACCTGCGCCCACGAAAGCCCTTAAAAAAGAGGTTGTGGCACGACAAGGATCGCCTAGTGAATTTTACGGAAGGATCATCACGAAACATGCTTAAAAGGCAAATGGAGGTCGCATAGTGGCGAGTACATTTGTAAGAGTATCTGATAAAGAGGAAGCCGTCGACTGCTTGGCGGTCCCAGAAACAATGATATCGTTTACCGGATATGGCAATCATAATTATGTCCTGAATAACACAAAGCTCTAGGGAGAATAGAAATCGTTGCCCTGTTAACCAAAGACGAGTTTCCTTTGGCAAGGGGTAAGTAGTCCATAAAGAATGGGCGAAGACATATATAGAGCATGATCCAGATCGGGGCCAGCTCGAGGAGATCCATTCGAGCAACGACCAAAGTCTCAATGGTTGTCAAGTATTGATAGTAGCTTCTACTCCATTGAGAAGGTCACGAGTATATAGATCGTAAGGGTGGAGTAGACTTGACAGAACGAAATGAGTTAACAGGGGGTCTGTCGGCGTCACCGATTGCAGGAGATCCGTTGCAGGCATGAAGAACACGCCGACGGAATTTTTAAAGATTACCACGGGGTCAGCGCTATCACATACGCATGTTGGAACTGACGTCACTCTCGCGCCGCGCCAACTTGATCCCCCACAATTTACTGTTATTATGGAAGCATTGCCACAGTGAAATCCATTGCTAAAACAATCTATAGATAAATTCCATTTGACTGATCCATTTATTTCCGTCTAAATTATAAAATATCACTCTCTATGTAGTTATTTGTTCGGCTCCAGAATATATGCTCAGTCATTTTATAAAACGCCGAGAGTCCCTCGTATCTCTCGTGCGAGATATTATAGATGTGCCTCCTTATACGAGACTAGGTCCCCGATCCCCGGTAAGAACCCCGAGTGGAATCCCGAAACAGCAGTACATGACGTCGTCCAAAGTCAAAGCCAATCAAAAGATAGAAGAAGGCGATGCTATGATGGTATTGTGACTTTATGTTCAGAATATTACAAAAACGAATCATAGTAGTGCCAAGGTATAAATTTATAGCACAAGCAAACACATTCAGGGTAAACTTCATTTCTTTCGGCTCGTATCTATCACTATTTTCGACACGAATGATCAATCGTCACATCTTGGTATAAAACGTTGTGTTGCACGAGGTATTGTAGAGCAGCGAGCACTTTGTGCTTGCGTACAACTAAAAATGGCTTTAAGTCCGTATCTATTGGAGGTCGGCTTCCCAGCCAAAGAACCTTGATCAGCTCGGTGAACTGTAGCCCGGGGCTTGGTAGTATCTGAAGGAGCGGACCTGGGTTCTGGGGTATGATGATGAAATGGCCACGTAACGCATGGTAGCTGGTCGGGGTAGACCGATGGCCCGGACGAAGCTTTAAAACGACTCCAATGGGATGAGATTTGGCAATCAAACATTCTTCCGTCAAGGTAAGGCCATCAAGGGCAACAGGATAGTGCTGACAAAGTGAAACGTTCATATGGTTTGTAGCGGCAAATTTAGGTATAGACTGGCGAATAAGAGCACTGTGGCATTGGCAGCAAAATGCCCAGCTACCATTGACCCATCCACAGTTGTCGAGATGGCCTGACATAGGCTGTAGGAACGGATCTGTAGGAAGAAGCTGATACATATCTTCAGATGGCATAAGCCTGCCACAAGAAGAACAAATTCCTTCGTGACTCGATGCCGACATGTGACTTTCGTAACGGGCAACGGAAGCTCTTATGTCGGCTGGAGAAATGACCGGTGGAAATTGATTTGAGGACTGTACGCGGATTTCATATTCCCGCTGCAGAAAGTCCATGGAGGAGTGGAGAATGGACTGGACTTGGCCATCGTCGGGGCTACGCTGCGAAGTACGTAGCGTAAGGGTCGCCGATAGTGTACGATTAGAAGGTGGTCTTCTTGGGTATTGTTCTGCTCGATGCGTAATCTTTCGTTTGCGAGGACTTAGGGGTTGAAATGAGTTAGCGAGCGGGTTGAAAGACGCGGCCGTGACCTGGGAAAAGTCTATAGCCGGTTGCACAACGTTGCCCGTCGTAGATCTGCAGGTAAAGCAACGCCGCACGCTGCTAATAGCAGGGAATGTGTTGCCGCATTGCCAACAGCAACGCATCTCAGGCGGTGGTTGAGTACGACTAGGTCCATAGCGCGAAGTTTGACGGCACACATCGCAACGAGCAACAGTTGTGTTAGACCGAATAGGAGCTCGACATTCTGTACACACGCGAATCTCGACAGTCGCAGAGGAGCGCGCCAAGCGACAGGCAGAGCAGCGGGCGGGTCGAAAGTTTGTTGACATACCTATCGGACAGTTGCAATCTCGACAAGTCCTAGATCGCAGCATATTGTGATATATTGTGATATCAAGGGCGGGCGAAGCCATAGACGCAAGAAAATGCAAAGAAACAGCTTTGAAGACATAAGCCAAGAAAGGTAGTGTAGAGCGCAACGATGTTGAAGGACAATTACAGGTTGTATAGAAGCAAAACATATCCAGGCCAATCATGGGACGTTTATAAAGACAGCATCCTAGTGCGAACAGAACAGGAGGAATAGGCAAGTAAAAGGCAAATTAGAGCAGGACGTAGGAATAAGAGAGGATGTAGGGCCGGGAAGAGCCCAATAAAAACAGACATATCCAAAAATACGATGCAGAAGAAGCTACCGAGACAATATTTCAAACGCGCTATAGCAGAAGCAGTTAGTACACAACGAATGAGGAAGGGACGTGGCAAAAAGCTTCGTATATAGAAAAACAACCTTTCTTTGCGGACGCACCCGCGGCCGTGTTTACTATAACCCCTTTCTCTCACTACGTTCGTTTCAGGGCATTGAGATTCTGCGTCGAATTACACGTTGTTAATTACCGTATACGTCCATGGAATGTTCTAGGAAGGAAGGCCGTTGCTAGGACAACGGCCACCAGGCGATCTGGCCAGATCATGTCCACTCTCTTTCTTCCTTCTCCTCCATAGCTACTGTATTATCGTGATACACGACGAATACTCCGTAGAGCACTAACGTTGGTAGGCTAACTTGGTTCTCGTTTATGCTCTCTATGGCCCTCGTCCCCTATCGCAACTTTCAGTCGTCATTGGGCTTCTCGCGATAGCCGGCACCGCCCGTCCACTCATGCTGACAGACCTCCAGAGCTTTGATCGGGTGTAGATATGAACGGCAGTCCCTACCACGATAATTATATCTCACAGCCCCAAGAATCCGAATCATGGGAACAGGATTCACAATATTCTCCCCCTACCCCGGGATACTTCCGAAGCCCATATGCTACATCTCCCAACTGCAGTCCTTCACCGTCCGCCCCATTCGACAATGACCCCAGCCCTACAAGCCAACTTCGACCTAGTACTTTACCTCTGCTACAAGAATCCGAATGGGAGTCAGACAAAGCCTACGACGAAGAATCACCAAACTGCATCCACTATTTCATAGAATGGCGAGTCACCCTCAACACCAAGACCGTCGTGAAAGACACGGAAGAAGATATTGTATTGGCGCCGGGCGCCTACTGGAAGTTGTTCTTGGAGGAGAAGCTACACACCGTCATCCAAGAGAAAGTGTCTCGCAACAGAAGGGTCAGGATCGATGACACTGCAATCGTCGTGTCCAACAGCGACCGTACCCAGCGTGATCTGAACAAGCGTTTCAACAAAACGGAAATAGTTTGGGCCCCTATTGAGAAACAATTAAGGATGTGGTCGAGCCATTTCTGCCGTGGAAAAAGGCTCACGCTGAGAGTCTGTTTCAATTATGTCGAGGACTGCAGTTCCCAACCCGCCGGGCGAAAGGGCGAAAAAAGGGGGAAATTCTCTGTCACAAGAAGGATGCTTGACGACCGAGATGCCCAGCTGGATGCTGAGGAAAATGCATGCGGACAGCAATCGATTTGGCGGCGCGTTTATGATTTGATGAAATGTGATTCTGCCGCATGCCACTTGGGCCCTTATTGCTGGCTAGATCCAATCGGAAAGAAGCATTACCGACTCCGCACGCAGTCACTCAGGCGCCTGGTAACCTACGCCGAAAAAGGTGGTGTCCTAGAGACGCACAGAGACGTTCCAGATGAAATTCGAGATGAGCTCTACATGGAAGATCAGCAGAGGGAGGAAAAAGATAAGCGCAAAGGCGGTAATATTCTTGGCAGTCAAACGTCGCATTCGCCGATCAACATCAATGTTCATCCCCCTGGAGTGGCTACAACAACGGCTTCAGCTGTTGAGGCAGCTGGGCCAAAATTTGCGAGTCCGCTGAAGATTCCTGGTCTCAAGGACGTGGCCGTCAAAGAATATGGTGAGTGGCTTGCATCGAATGTATCTGATGATACTCTCAAAGCTGCATTCCGACAAGCGTGCGATATAACCCTGTCAGATGGCTTTGAGCTTGAGCACATCTACAAGGATCAGAACCCGGAATTTTTCGTCAGCAAAGGGATCAAACCCGGGGTTGCTCGGAGTTTCGTAGAAAATATTCAAGATTGGGTTGAGAATGTGAAAAAGGCATTGCCTGTTCTCGACATGGTGTAGACGAGCGTGTTGGCGTTGGGTCCGGTTATCTGGCGATTTTCTCTTCCCGCTCGTCGTGTATGCAACTTTGAAATATGAAGCACAACAAGTACATATTTTTAAGATGATTTAGTGTGAATCAGTTCCGGATTCATTAGCGGTCGGATAACGTAAAGCGTAGTAAGGCTCCTATCGCATGCTAGTATTATGACGTGCCGTGGACCCGGAATCAGCCTATTTTCTGGCCCAACGAGTCTGTTGGTCAAAGGCTTTCTTTTCGTCTCCTTTCATATGCCTCAGGCCCCGTTCTCGAAGCTCTGAAAAGAAGTTAAAGGCAGCGTCGAACGTGTCATGACTTGTCCAGCCATCTCGTTTCACAAGACCTTCTATACTGTTAAAGAAATCCTGGACCTCATTCCAGCCCTCGGCATCAACGGAGTGGCTATGTAGTTCATCCTGCGTGAAGTGATAAGGACACTCGCCTTGCATGCCAAGCTCTTGCCAATGTCTGAAATAAGCAATCAGATACCGTCGGGAAAAGGGAGAAGATACTGAGATAGCTACCTTTCAACGTTAATAAGTGCCTCACGGAAAGAGACTATGTCATCATCCCATGTGTTTCCGGCAAATTCGACCGGAAGACGCCTTGTCTTCCCATGGTCTAGATGGAACGCTTTGGCAAGAAGGGGGTTGCACTCTTTGGTCTCCAGCAGATATAGCTGATATAGCGTCGATTTGAATATTTGCTGTTTGATTTCAGCTTGCTGCTCAGGGCCCAGGTCGTCAAAATTGTCTGGGCGTTGAAGTAGAATGCTGCCTTGGTAGTCCACGATCGGAGAGGGTTGGGATTGGAGAAAGAGTGGACCTGCCCACGAGCCTTGCCAATCAATGGTAGCCGTTATATGGCCATCATCCACAAAGAGATTAGATGAATGAAGGTCTCCGTGCCACAATGTCGGCCGAGTGAGAACAGGGTCAACGTCCATCATAGCAGGAGCCACTTTAAGATACTTCTCCAACAGCTGAAGATGTGCTTGTGGATTGTTCTGGGCTGAAGAAATTAGGGTAGCTTCGCTTGGTGGTTTCGATACGGCAAAATTTTTGATCCACTCTAATTCACGCAAGCCAACACTTAGCGCATATTCTTGGGCCGTTCGCCCTTATGAAAATTAGCAAAAAAAAAAAAAAAAAAGGAACAGCTTAAATAGCAATAAGAAAAATGCTTACAAGGACCCCTCGAGATCTGCATCGACGAGCGTTCCTTCTTCCAAAAGTTTCGGTCGACGGTAGGCCCAATACTGAATTTCCGGTATACTCGCTCTTTGAGTTCGGAGGGAGCTCCGTTGGTGAGCAGGGCTGGAACTGCGCCTTCCACTGCATCTTTCGCGAAATATATGCTGCCAAAGCTGACGAGATGATCAGATTTCGCACGCATTTGTGAATGAGCAAATGAACATACTGCGAAAACGACACCGCAAGCATCTTTGACTCGATAGTCACTATCTCCCTCATAATGGAAAGTTTTTTGTCCGGACTCAGCTGATCCCAGACGACTCCAAGCTGTGTGCCAGATGCTTCTTCCATGATGATGTATTCCGAGCCAACGGCGTTATTTGATGTGGCACTCCAGTCAAAGATTCGGGGCACGGGGATTTGAAGGAAATCTCGAGCCTGTTTGAGCATGAACTAGCCGCCCTTGCGATTACCTGGTTTAAGGTAAACTTACAAGCTCCATGGTAGCGACTTCGGAAGCGGTCGAATAGAACGCTGGGCCAGCATTTGGGTTTGGTATACGAGCAAGCACTCTTTTTCCATCATTAGTGATCAAGCGGAAGACCTTGTTATATCCTCCCTCGGCCAGCTTCGTTATGGAGATGCAGCTGTCTGATCTAACAGCTTTGGCCGCGAGGCTTTGGAGCTCAGCAACGTTAAAGGTCTGATACCTGTCCCTGAGCTGCTGTTCTTCATCCCAGAGCCATCGTCCACTCGTATAACGGAAGAAGTGCTCGTGATCAGGATTTGGTGTTGTCATTTGCTCGGGGAGACTCGTGATCGTGCAAACGACGCGAAACGAAGGAAGGGTAGTTGTCGTTGATTGTAACCGCGGTGGTGCTGAAACGAGGGCAGACGTTCGTGGTTGAAAACAATAAGCTGAGCAGTTTCTCAAATTTGGAAAAGCTGAAAGTGCACGACGTCCTATGCCAATGTTCATTGCTTGTGTCCGGTTGAGAACAGTTCAAAAGTCATTTGCGCGGGAGCTGGGTGTAAGCTGCCCGAACGTCTTGGCGCTTATTAAGTCACCTAAGCCGACAGCAATATTCTGTAAATTTGGGTGAATTAATTTCCAATCTCAAAATAGGATAACGAATGCAACTATACAGGGGTAGCTGCATATGACGGCCGTGAAAGGGCTTGCGATGATGGAATCGCCTTAGCACATCACTTATTTGATGATGTTGGTCGTTATGGTGACGCTTTCAACGGTCAGCAATAAATTGCGGGGGGAAATATTAGTCAAAAAGATTATTTGATTTCAATCGAAAACCGCGTAGGAGTATTGTGGATGCATCACTGTAGGAATTCATCAGCAATATTTGTTTCCGGTTCAGTGATTGGATATAACAATCTCGGGTCGTTTATGCTGTACGGGCTCATTAATGAGATTGTTTCCTATCATCGACGGCCGATGTCAAAGGCCGAATACCTCGATCAGAATAACCACCCACCGTGCATCTAACCCTCCCCTCCGACTTGGTCTGTTTTGCACCTGAACCATAAGCGGTAAGGGAACTGTTTTTATTGGCCTTGAATGTGATGGAATATCTTGAAAGCGCTTGGGCTGTAATCAGCACCAACTGGAAGATAACACTCCGTCTTTTTTTTATCCCACTTTAAGCGCCTAGACATTCTTTGGCCATTTTTTTAGGAATATAAGATACTATATGCTCTCATGAAAAAGATTGAGATCCAGATAAACGAAATATTTTTGAACATTCAGTCTGTGTATTCTAGCAAAAATTCATCACAATGTAAGGTACAACAAAGACTTCGGGTGACAAGAAAAATCTAACGTTGCTAGATGCCTATTTCCATTAAAACAGTTCGTGCATTCACCGATGGGATTCCGTGGGCGAAAATATTCAAGAAAGCCGAGAATACGACCAAAGGGCAGCGTCTCTACCCGTCCCAGAGTCATGATCAGAAGAAGAACTTCAGATTAGACAAAGGTGCAACCCTCAGCGAAAATCAACAGGAAATTATTCTTCAAGCGAACAAAGGGGCCGAAAACGCAGAGGTGAAGAAAGAAGCTCAAAAAGACAGTCACAGGATTCTGGCAAAATGCGTCATTGATCCGAATGATGTGGACGCAGAAAAGGCGAAGGCGGACTTGGAAGCTTCTTTCAAGGCCAACAACTAAGAAGCTACCCTGTTCGGGAAGACTGTTGGCTGCACAAGTGAATCAAAGGTAGATGACGACAATGAGATGGATTGGATGATTCTGGGTGTGTTTGAATGTAGGATCGATCGCTTCATGTTACTGATGGTGTGAAGGAGAATTTTAATCATCTAAATCCTCAACACTGAGGCCTGCGTGCCGAAAATGACCCCTAGCACTGTCTTTCTTTGCCCCAACCTGATTAATACACCGTTCAAGGAAGGTGCCGAAATCCCGGCCAGGATCATCTGCAAAGTAGCTCCAATTACGTTTTATGCAGCTTTTAAGTTCAGAGAAAAATTCTTCAATTGGATTGAGATCCGGCGAGTATGGAGGCAGATAGACGACTTTCACGCCGGCGTCAGCACACATCTGTGAGATCCGTTCGGAGTAATGAAAGGACGCATTATCCATGACTAGAACAGACTTCGGCTCTGGCCATCTTCCACAATGTCGTAGGAGTTCATCAATAAAGTCCTCGAAGGCGGCGGCATCTGTTGACCCACGAAAGACGCGGCTAAGCAAAATACCATCTTGGGCATATGCAGGCAGAATTTGATAACGTTCGTCACGGTGAAACTGTGACACTTGTCGAGGTGCTACACCGAGTGGTGACCAGCCTGTGCGTCGGAAACCAACTCGTTTATCACATCCAGATTCATCAACATAAACAAGGTGGTATGACTCAAACTCGGAGAGGTTGTGAAGATATATTTCTCGTAATTCGGCGTTCTGCTCTTTCGCTTTCTGACGGGCAGTCTTTCTCGACCAACCATTGGATACGAGGGCCCGTCTAATGCTAGAAGTTGTTGCTAGCATCTGGAACTCATCCCATAAAAAGATAGCCATCTCGTCGAGGTACAGACCCGGTTTTTCCAGCAGATGATCAAAAAGCGCTTCCAGCATTGGGGGCGTTACGCTTCGTCTCCGTCCGATACGATTTGGGGGGCCATGGACGTTGTCAAACAGGCGTAAGTTTCTGCGTATATTTTTGATTGTCTGTTCACTACATTCCGCCGCCTCTGCCATTTGATGACGCGTAAGTGATTGGCTTTGTATCATATCACCAATGAATTGCAGCTTTGACGGGGAAAGCCTCGGTGCCATGTCGCTAGGTGTTTTCGCAGTGCTCGCAGTTTAAAGAAAGTGCGCTGCGCAGGATGGATGAGGGGCATGGAGGTTTGTGACAAACTAAAGGAGAGGTCAAATAATTGTGACTAAGCACTCACCGACAGTCGGTCCCCTCCTGTCAGTGAGCCAATGCCTAAACACAAACCAATGCCTAAACACAAAAAATTCAACTATTCAATTTCAAACCTAATTTCCTCCCAACATATCATCTGGATCTACCCATTTAAATAGCTCACTATTTTCATCAATATAATCTCTCTCTCCTGATGCCTCTTCTTTTTCTTTGAGAGCTTGTTGGGCGCGATACCAATAGTCTCGAATTCTTGCATTTCCGATCTCACGACAGATCTCAACTCTGTTTTCGTTCGCAGCACGTCGATGAACTCTGATATTGCCCGCAATTGATGATAATGGGGATTTTGAAGCTCCTTTTATAATACGTCGTGATTTTTTAATCGGAATTCTGTGTTTTTGCATCCTTTTGATCGTTTGTTTTGCAAGGTTCAGATCTTGAAGCGCCTGTTTACCTCCACGAATAGCACGTTTTACATGCTTTTGGAGTTTTGAAACGTCTGGTTCATCATTTTCGAGGATTGTTTCGAGTTTATCCTCAATTTTTGACCATCTGTGAGGTGTATTTGGTGGTGAATTCGTCTGTGAACTTGGGATTTCGGCTTCGGGGGAGGGCGTATGACCATAAATTTCAATCACTGGTTCATCTTCCCACCCAGGATCAATTTGATCAGGAACAAGTTTTGGATCCCAAGGCCAAATGCCAGTATCCGCAAATGCTGATTTGATAGTTTGCGATTTGAATGTGTCTTTGCGGACTGTTTTGATCATTCGAAAAAAATGCCGTTTATCATTGACATCGCCACCCCAGCGTTCAATCTCATTGTTCTTCCGCCGAAAACGCTGTTTAAGAACTGAGAATGGTTTACCGTCAAGAGGTTGACATCGATGTGTCATTTTTGGAATAAACCAATAAGGAATGATGTTAAAACTTTGACAGATATGCTCGAATTCCGGGGTTCCATGAGAACCATGATTGTCCATAAGTAGAACTCTAGGTCTACCTTTGGTAACTCGCTTTTTCGTGACGAAATGGAAGTCCAATAGCCATTGAATTGCAGTTGTATCGTCTGTCCAGCCTTTAGAAGTTGGTTTAATAACCCGGTAATTGGCTATATTATCGTCGTCTTCGAACCAGTCTTCCATATGCTCAGAACCGCGAATCAAGAACCAAGGATGCATAACCCAGCCATCAGCTGAAATACATTCAATGCCAGTAATATTCTGACCAATTCCACCGGTTCCAATAGTCTCATTTTGGCGGGTAGACACGACATTTTCCTTTGTTCCAATGCCTAGTTGAAAGCCAGTTTCATCCCAATTATATAATTCATTGGCTTGGATCTTATTCTTTTTGAGAAAATCACCAAAAACCTCATACCAATGAATTAATTCACCGTGAGATTCAGCCTCGATTCTCGCTTTTTCTATAGGTTTTTGGGTTCGGAGGGTAATATGGGGTGGTAAACGTTGGATAAATTGATATCCGTACATTTTACTAACCCGTCGGTCGGAACCGCAGTATTGTAAAATGCGATTTGCAGCATCCTCAATATCAAAAGCATTAGGTGGTGTATAGACCGAATTAAGGAGCTCGATCCAATGAATCAAAGACTTCTCTTGCGACTCATTTAATGCTTTATTGGTAGCTGCACGCCCTTTTTTACTCGGTCGGCCCTCATTTCGGTTTCGCAGCTTCCACTTTGACACGTTAAAATGGGAGGCTGCAGACTTGATACTCTTAAATTGACCAGAATTATAGGCTTCAAGGGCATTTGAGAGCAAGATCTCTTCTTTTTCGGTAGAAAACGGCATTGTTTTGGTGGAGAGAATTGGGTTTGAAATTGAATAGTTGAATTTTTTGTGTTTAGGCATTGGTTTGTGTTTAGGCATTGGCTCACTGACAGGAGGGGACTTACCTCAGTTCCCTCAGACCACAGCCAATGATGAGACAGAATTCTGCCGATTCTGCCACGCTAACCCGATTGGGTTGCTTCATCAGCCCGTGGTCTGAGCCGGGAACCCCTTCCGTACATACAAGTTTCCGGTTCTCGCCAGCAACCCCACCATTTGGTCAAGGTGTGTTTTCTCAAGCTCTCTGAGAGTATTTCTGACATTGTTAGAAAGAATGGCATCACCGGATTTGCCCAATATGATCTCTAGATCGCGAAAGCGTGCTCGACAATCCTCCCTCGAGTGGCCTTCTTCCAGTTCACCATTACAAGAACCACCTGCGTCTACTCAGCGATCTCGTTATATCTCAGGATTGCAGCCACGCGAACGTGTCGATATGGTACTGGCTGAGCTTAATGATAAGCACCGGTGGACAATCAAGGATCTTCTTTACCACATGGTGCATGCACAACCAGTCAAAAAAAATGGATATTCGACATCGTATCGAGCACAGAAATTGTCTGACGCTATATATGGGCAACCTGAAATTATTGAGCGGCTAGGTAGTGTCTCAAAAGACATATATGCCACTGGTGCATCCGATCTCGTGTCTCGGATACAGACCGAGATTCGAGGGCTGATTAACGGAGATATACTCGGCGAGTTCCAGTCCAATGTGGACCCTAAAGATATGGACATCTCTAGCTTGGCTACGCAGATGCAGAGGAAAGCTCCAGAGCTCTGTGGACTGCTCGTTAGCATCATGACACCTCCAGGAAACCATCGCGATACACCCAAGATCCACCAGGGCAGCATTGTGATGGTCTGTTCAATTCTGGCTTGCGCTTTTGCACCACGGAAAAGCAACAACTTCCCGATGTTGATCGGCTTGTATTTACATGCAATGGGTGTCAAGCGACGTGTGATTAGCTTTCTGGCTGGCCTGGGGATAAACTCAGCATACCAGACTATCATGGACAGACGGAAGGAACTTGCAGAACTAGGACAGGTACTATAACCGCATTTACCGGAGAATAACATGTTCTGGCTGACTTCTTACCCCAAGATGTGTACAGAAACAATTGAAACAGAATGCCCAGGCTTCTCGCAGGAATCTCGTTGTGGCATGGGATAACTTTGACTACAGCCAGACTGTTCGACATCAAACTATTCGTGATCCATCAGAGCATATCTCCGCCACCACTGGCAAGCTTTGTATCGGTCAGTCCATCCCTGCAGGAGGGCTTCTCCGATCTATGTTCCATCCAGAGGTTGCACTGAGTCCTCATGATATCTACATGGCACCAGGCAATCAGGATGATGAGATCTTCCATCAATGTCAGCGCCATTGGATTGCAGAGGCCATTCGCTATACTCATCGGGAGGCAGTAGAGAAACTATTTACTGCGGAAGCGTGCGTCAAACCAGGCCAGATGAAACCGCGAGCCCATCTTATTGACTGGCCTGAATTCCCAGCAGTTAAACGACTGCAAGCGCAGAAGACAATTCACTACAGCCTTGGGCCAATGTTATACAACGAAGGCACGACAGAGGGGACATACAAGGTCATTCAGAATGTCTTTCTGGAGCAACTGGGGGATGATGATGATACAGACCTTGATGGGCTTTTACAACTGGTTTATGGAGATCAGAAAACAGTGTCACTCCTTCGTGCCGTCAAAAAAGAACGTGCGGAGGCTTCTCGTCTTTTCGATCGTTTCAGCTGGATATTGCCAATCCCCGGACTGTTCCACTGGCGTATGAACTACTTGGATATGATCTTTGAGCTCTATGCTGGGACAGACCACCCTACCGTTGAATCGACGATCCATCATAATAAGGTCTGTCTCGGTTGCGTACAGGGACACAAAAGTCCATTCCACCAT